TGCTTGGTGTGACGACGGCTAGTCGTCAGCTTCCGCACACGCAAAGGTACCTTTTGGCAGTGCTACAGCACTATCACCCTCAGGCTACATTCACTTCTTTTGTAGCGTCGGTGAATTGCAGCGCCCCCATCCACCGTGACTACTTCAATGCTCCGGATAGCTTGAACTATGTTGTTGGCGGAGCCGAGCATTTGCGTGGCGGGCTTTGGATCGAGGTTAGTTCAGAGTTTGCTAGCACTGCCGCTCCAGGGGTTTTGCAATTTCGAGAGGTTGCTCCGCGTCGGTGGCTGCCGGGAATGATGTGGGATACGGTTGGTGCCTCGTTCTCGTTCTCACCGCACTGCTTTCATGCCGGTGACTCGTGGTCTGGCGACAAATACCTCCTTGTTGCGTTCACTCTCAAACGATGTGTGAAGGCTCCTCTCCCGGTTGTGGCGGAGCTGACTTGCGCCGGCTTTCCGTTGCCTTCTTGCTGCCCTGCGTCTGACGCAGGGGGGGGAGCCCACAGTAATCTTTCGCCTTCTTGTTCCAAACAGGGGCTTGCAACTCAAAATCAAAATCGACCGCATGAGCTGAGTGCGTTGATTGATACTTCTCCTCCTGCCCAAGAGTCTTCCTCCGGTGTCGGGCTCTTGGTTGATGAGGTTGAGGCGGAGTCTGATTTCAGCGAAGAGGCTTATGGTTTGGATGCGGCCTGCAGTGCTGAGTCGAAGTTATGGTTTGAGGCTGCTGAAGCTGCGTCCTCCCTTCAGGTTGAGGCTCGGAGCTTAAGCCCTTGCCATGATCATGAGACCCCTCCCGATGACCCCCTTGAGTCCTTTGTACTGATAGACGGTCCGGTAGAGACCTGTGTCTTGCAGGGGATCGAAGAGCTTAATAGGGCTAGGGTTAATCTTCGCAGCTTGCAGGCAGCTAGTGGTTCAAGTAGTGCTGTCAGTGAGGTCCTCGAGGCGCGCTCTGAAGGCATAGAAAACTTCCTTGCCTATTATCAGGTGCTGTCGGGCCCGGGGGAGTCCAAGTGCCCCTTAGCAGTCAAAGAGCTTCGTCTTAGAGGACTGGGGGAGTCACCCTCTGCTTCTGATGCCCATGCTCCGGACCATGAGCCACCACCGTTGCAAACGAAAACTGTGAGCCTCGATCAGGTCAAACGCGAACTTCCTTTGTGGAAGCCAGCGATAAGTGCCGAATATGACAGCCTCCGTGTAAAAGGAGTGCTAAGGCCGATTTCGGAACAACAAATTGCGGAATGGCTTGCCCAGGGACGTGCGGTGCTGCGTCTGCCCTCAAAAGGAGTCTTCACTCGCAAGGCGGTGTCAGGCTTAAGGAAGGCTAGGTGCGTCGCATGTGGAAATCACGGGCCTTCAGCTGGTGGCTCCGCGTATGAACATCGTATGCTCACATATGCCGGTGGAATCGACGCGAGCGCACTAAGATTGTCGTTGGCTTTCATATCCCAGCACCCCGACTGGGATGTCTGGGTGACAGACGTCAAAACAGCTTTCTTAAACGCGAAGTTGTCCGATGGTGTTGATAGCAGTCTGGTCGAGTCAGGGACCGAGGAGCTGATCGTCCTTGATCCGCCCCGTATCTTTCAGCTTGCCGGAGTAGTCAGCAGAGCTGAGCGGTGGTTGGTTGAAGGTGCTCTGTACGGCCTTGACCGGTCTCCTAAATGTTGGTCGAAACTTAGGGACCGCACGTTAAAGACTGTTCGCGTTAAGATTGGAGATATTGAAATAAGCCTGAGACAGCTAGTTTCTGAGCCAAATGCATGGCTACTGACGGCATCGTCAGGAGGCATTGTCGGCCTTCTGGTCGTATATGTCGATGACCTCATGATTGGAGGTGTTGCAAAGTATGCATCCGCAGTCCTCGCTGAAATTCGCAACATCTGGCAGTGCTCGGAGCCGGACCAGCTTAGCTCTAAGAATCCTGTGCGCTTTTGTGGTGTTGAAATAGAGAGACAAGGCCGTGCGCTCTTAGTCCACCAAGCATCGTATATAGAAGATGTTGTAAAGCGCTACGAAGAGAGTCTTGGGGCTCCACTGGTAGAGACTTCGTGCCCGTTTGTAAAGGTTCAGGACCCAGAAGAGCCAGAACCTTCTTCCCCTGTTGCTTTGAGAAAGGCCCAGGCACTTGCGGGTGAGCTTCTTTGGGTGTCTGGAAAGACAAGAGTAGACATTGTCTATGGGGTTGCGAGGGTAACATCATTGGTGAGTCGATGTCCGGAGCTTGCTTTCAAGCTCGGTCTGCATATCCTTTGCTATCTTAAAGGCACCAAGCGGGTCGCTCTGAAGTACCAGTGCGCCGCAGATCAGCCTCCCCATGGCATGCATAATGAGCGTCGCGTCACGGCTCTTCCTTACCTGCTTGAATCTTTCACTGATGCTAGTTTCGCTCCAGCTGGTGACAGAAGCTTTGAAGCTGGCCTGGTTCAGGTCGGTCGCAATCTAGTCTTCTGGGGTGCAGGTAAGCAGCCCTTCACAGCTCTCTCTACTGCTGAGTGTGAGCTGTTAGGGGTTCTTGAGGGTGTAGCGTTGACGGAGTCCCTTGAAGGGCTGGTGCATGAGCTTCACCCAGAGGTTCAGCAGTTTCCAGCGTGTCAGGCTTTCTGCGATAACCTTGCATCCATCTCAATCGCTTCTTTTGAAAGTGGCAATTGGCGCACGCGCCACCTGCGGGTTCGGTCTCAAGCCCTCCGGGAAAGGCTCCAGTCTGGAAAGTGGCACCTGTCGCACTTAAAAGGAGAACACATGCTGGCAGATATTGCCACGAAAGTGCTGCCTTGGACTCGTGTCAGAGACCTCTTGCTTTTGTGCGGGTACGATGTGCCAAAGGTTAAGGCCCCTGTTGCGAAACTAAACCTTTTGAGGCAGGCGTTGGCGCTGCTTGTTGTCGGTTCGCTGCCTGTTCAGGCTCAGGGCAAGGGAGGAGTTGAAGGATCGACGCAGGATGACTGGAGCAGCTGGTGGCTTTCAATAGTTCCGGTTCTTGTGGTTGCAATAGGGATTTTTCTGCTTTGTGCTGTGGGAAGGTTCTTTAGCACACGACGCACTGAGCCAGTCGAAGATGGCCTTGAGCAGCCAGAGCTTGAACCCATTCCGCTTTCCGAGCAAATCCCGCAGCCTATAGTCATTGCTGACTACGATGATGGACTGCGTTGCCGTGGCAGAGGTGCCAGGCCAAGGCGAGTTAGCACTGGTGCAGGCCCAGACGTGCAGTTTTCTCCGTGGGCCCTCCTGCCTGGAGCACCAGAGCAACGTAGCCCCACGGTTGAACCTCCCCCGCTGCGAAGGAACACCAACCGGATTGAAATTCCTAACTTTTTTGATCTTGGGGACCCTAATAGCTGGGAAAACTTCATTGATCGCGTGTTAAGAAGCAGCCTGGTTGTTGACATGCAAGGAACTGTCGCACTCGAGCTTCCACCCGAGGCCCCGAGAAATCATCCTGTAGTAGTTGTTCCTGAGGCCCTTCCCTACGAGCCGGAACCTCAATCCCCGCGTAGTGATGCAGAGTCTTCTTCGATACAGTCTGGTCGGTCAGCTGAGTATTATGACCGCGGAGCGCGGCGAGATTTCGAGCTGTATATGGCAACGAGATCAGACTCCAGCTCGTCATCTGGAACTCCTCCGCACTGGGTTCAAGGGGTTGGGATAGTTCCTGCTGCTGAGTATAGGGCTAGGTATGACCCTACTTACCCCCACCGTGACCAAATCAATAGGCATGGAATCGATGTAGTCCCTGGACCCGAACAGCTGTACCGCCAGTATGAAGAGATGCGTGAGGCAGGTCTCTATCCTGACTTGCCAACTCTAACACCCTGGGCTGCAGGTACCAATGAGGCTGCTAGCTCCTCTGATGCTGTGGTGAGGTATGTTGATGACGTTGCGGTCTTAAGATCAACAAGATTTCCTCCGCTTGCGACTGACAGTGAGATTGAAGAGGCTGATGAAGAAATAAATCATGCTATCGCTTCAGCTGCAGCGTTTCTGATTAGGAATGGCATTGAAGTGCCACTTGAACAGTTGTCAGATGCTCAACAACATATCTTTTACACGAACGAGGGCTTTCGCCTCGAGCGCATGCACCAGGATGGAGTCCCTGAGGTGGATTGAAGTAAGGTGCTCTAGGCGTGGTTTTTAGGGGTCGTTTTGTCATACGTCCTTAAAGGTGTGGCTTGTGGGTCTTAGTTTGTTAGGCGTGCCAGTCTCGCGGATATCTGCTTGAGACATGCTAATCCTTTCTGACCCTTGGAGTACAGTATCGGCTCATCTTTGGATTTTTGACGATTTTCTTAGCTTCCGGTTGTAAGTCCGGTTTGGGTCAGGTTCTCAGGTTGTGTAGCTTGCAGATTGGTGAAGAGCCGTGCTTCTGCAAAACCGTGCAGGGGATTACATGTCCCATCTTTTGCAAGCACTGTGAAGCCTTGCGCCGTTTGTTGTGCAACCACAGTCCTTTTCCTCAGAAACTGAGGAGCGTCTTGAGCCTTACTTGGGCTACACTCCTTTGCACTCCTCCACTTGGACTTCTCTCCACCCTTTTCCGAGGGCCCTTTGGACTTCAGCTGCTTAAGTGTGGTTGGGTTGTTGGGGTTTGGTGGTGTTTTGGCGAACGCCAAAAGGGGGAGCGCAGATGTGTATGTCCCTGCCCCTGCTGCAAGGATGACACGCTTGACTCCGCAGGTGCATGGCCCCTGCAGCAAGGAAGACAGTCAGGCACGTACAGAAGACGTTTTTTAAATCGAGAAGTGTACCAAGTTAGATCTTATTCGCTTTCGCTTCTGCTGCTAAAACAGTTGGCTGGCCCTCGTACTCGAGTAGGGTTTAAGGGTTTTTTGGCTGCATGTGGAGTTTCAGACCTGGGTTCATTCATGCCCCTGCCTGCATCAGCTTTTATTATAAAACCACAGACCAGTCCTTCTAAAGACTCATCAAGGGTTTAGGGTTTAGGGATTCAGAATTCAGGGTTTTTTTGTTTTAGGGATCTGCCATCTGCCGCAGGGCGTTCGCATCTTCGACATCAAAGAGGGTGATAGCGCATCTGAGGCTCGTGAATCAGCGAACGGCGGGTTTAGGAGTTTTCATTTTTGCTCTTGCAAGGACTGAGAAGGCTGCAGGGTTTCCACGGTTTCGGGTTCAGGGTTCAGGATGTAGGGCTTCGGGTTCAGATATCGGAGAGCTTTCTAAGCCTTTTGTAAGCTTCTTAAGGGCTTTGCTGTAATTAACTGCTTACACCGCCTGTGTACGAGGCATAGCAGCTATTTGACCGGGGAGGTAGGGCCCGGGAATTAAGTTTCGGGGTTCCAAGCAACCGCTGGACCTGAGGCTTAGCAGAACCAGGGCGTGTGAGATGTTCTCTGTCCCCACACTTCCCCACACTGCACAAACCCGAAACGGTCCTAAATCCTGCCCGCCGTAAATGCTAAATGCTAAACCGTTCACTTGCAAGTCCTGGAGAGTGTGATTTTCGGCTGCGGATGCAAAGACGGCCGAACAAGTCGCATTCGCCATTCCTGCAAGCTAGGATGCCCAGTAGTACCCTTATTCCCTTTTTGTCGTTCTAGGTTCCTATGTTCCTTATTAAGATACGCAATACAAACAGGGAGCCCTTTTTATTCCTAGGTTGCTGGGGATCCTCGCTTTTGCCATTCCTGCAAGGTATCCCGAACTAGTCGCCTCATTTTTCCTTCCCATCTGATCAGCCCGACGCCCCTCGGTGCAGTTGGATTGAGGCCCGGTCACTTTCATATGGGGGTTTCGGAAAAGAGGGGACCGTAATGTAGTCCCCTTAATAGGAGGATCCTTATAAGGTACCCCTAGTTATCCCATATCCCAACCCGAAGCCCTGACAGCCCCAACCCCAGAGCCTACACCATCCTCAGAGCCCTTAACAACCTTTATAAACACCCTTAATAAAGCTCTTCAAGGAAGCCCATATTTCGCTTTCAAGGAACCCTATAAATCCTCAAACTTACCTTTGGTTAGTAGGGAATGAGGAGAGAATGGGGTACAACTATAACTACTAATAAACCATTCTTCCATGCCCTACTAACCAACGGTAAATTAAGGGAAGCCTTAACCACAGGGATCGCTTTAAAGGAACCCTATAAATCCTTTAAGGGAGGCCCCTTACCCACAGGGATCTCGACACCCAAATGGCTTGATCTGCCGATTTGAGCAGGCTGCATCCTCCCTGGAGCGCGAGGCCGTTCGGGGTTCGGGTACCCAGACCCCCGGGAGGATCTAGAAAGTAGATCCCCTAATTTGGAGCCCTGTACTACTAAGGGCATAGTATTTGAAGGTTCGGGGTTTAGGGTTTGGGGTTTGAGGTTTAGGGTGTAGGGTGTGCTATAAGTAGGGTTATAAGTAGGGTAACTATACTTATACAGTTCCCATGTTGGGACTTATAACCCCATTTATAACTACCCATGAACCTTCAAGTAGGGTCTGTCTAGGAGCAAGCCTGATCTTAACCCCAGATAATAGCCCACCTTCAGGGGCCTCAGAAATCATATAAAGAAGCCCTAAAAAGGTAGGTCTTATGGGATTCAGGTAGAGTTTTTGGTTGAGGTGTCTAGAGGTTTGGGATGTAGGGGTTCAGTCTTTAGAGGTCTGGGGCTCTGGGGTTCAGGGTTGAGAGATTTAGGGTTTTGGGGCTTTGGGTTTAGAACTTTATAGGGTTTTGGGTTTAGAACTTTAGGGTTTAGAGATTTAGGGTTTTGGGGCTTTGAGTTTAGGGTGTTGGGGCTTTGAGTTTAGAACTTCATAGGGTTTTGGGTTTAGGGCCCGGGTCCGTCAAAAATACGAATCGTGCATGGGCTTATAAGGCTTTATTGGCTTCTACAGGTTATGTTCATGAGGTTGTAGGGGCCTCATAATCAGAGAGTGGTTTTGGTTACTTTCTGGAATATGTGAAAAGTGGCTCTACTTAAAGGATCATGGGACTTAGTAACTAGTGTTATAATTAGGGTAGCTATACTCGTATTTACTTATAACCCCAATCAAGGTACTTATAACCTCACTTACTAAGTCCCATGATCCTCCAAGTAACTATGTAGACCCCTTCTCTAGGATCTGCCGGCCCGAGGCTCGGAGTGTTGAGATTCTGAAGAAGCCCTTGACCTTGCTAAGCCCCAAACCCTACTTGGAGGGTCTTTAGGGGACTTAGTAAGTAGGTAGTAAGTAGACTTATAAGTACCCTAAAAGGGACCCTCATTGGGGTTATGGTACTTATAAGTCCCTAAAATAACCAGTTACTAAGTCCCCGACCCTCCAAGTAAACCCTGAGCCCTCACCCATCAGCCCAAAGCCCTAAACCCAACAGCTCGAGTTCGACATGGTTGAAGTAAAGACTGCACAAGCACTCGGCCCTAGATGACTGTTCGGGTATGCGCGGGATTCGGGGTTTGAGGTTCAGGGTTTGCCCTAGTCATTACTAGGTTAGTGGAGCCTTTTACCTTTTAGTGGCCTTGCCTATAGTCTCCATTCTAGTTCCCTTTTTTGGTCTAACCAACCATATAGTAAGGATCCGAAAAGGTAACCCCAAAAAGGAACTACCATGGAGACTACAGGTAGGTTCCAAAAAATACCCAAAAGCAAGCGTCCGCACAGCTCCAAGTGCTCAAGCTACGGAATCTCCAGGTTTGAGGAGGCTGGGCCCAACATGGGCCTTGACAGGTAGGCTCCTTCATGCAAGGACCCTTCAGTGCTTAGGGCTGAGGGGTTGGGGCCCTGATTTCTGAATCGCCAAATCAGCGGATCCCGAACATCATTCTTCAGGACCCTATGTAGTGCACACCGGTGCTTTTTATCAGGTACCCACATTACACATAAGCTTCCTAAACCTCTAAACCCTAAACCCCCCCCCAGTCCCCAGCGCAAAGCCCCAAAGGCCATCATCATGGCCCCTAGGCCCACACCCAGAATTCTGCGCCCCTCGCTACACAGTGTACAGAACCCTAAACCTCATAGCCCCTACACCTGAACCCCTATAACCCTGAACCTTACACCCGAAGTTCTGAACCCTAAGCCCCACAGCACAAAGATTTGCCCAGGGCTTTGTCGTACTTGCTGGCTGCCTCGCTGCCCCGACCTTGCGCCGACTCAGACCCCTGGCAGCCACCCGGAAAACTTGATGCAGAGAAGTCTTCGGTACGGGGGCTCTGGCCTATCAGGGTTTACTTGCAACCTCAACATTTCTGGTGCGTAGTCCTGAACCAAGGGGTGGGACTCGAAAAGCAGTAGCTTAGGGCAAGAGGTGTAATTAATTGGGATTGTGCTTGATTCCTATCGGACGTCGTTCTCCTGTGAACCCTGAACCGACTACATAGCAGAGTCGAGGGTAGGTGGTCCTGGTTTATCTTGCGGCCCGAATCCTATACTCTCTAAAACCTCAACTCTGAACTTTCAACCTTGATGGCTCGCGTTTGTGAGTGAGGGTAACGGATGGGTGTCAAACCCTGGGCCACCCATATAGGGCTTGAATAGTTCGAAGAGGCATTTCCGGTATATCACAGTATAGGTAATAAGTATTTCGAGACGAGAAGAGAATGTCACTAAGTTATTCAGACCTCTGCATTAAAGCGTACGCCGCCCTCAGCACTTAGAGGTTCAGGGGTAGTTATGAGTGGGGTTATACGTAGGGTAACTACTTATAACCCATATTATCGGACTTGTAACCCTACTTATAACTACCCAACCCTATACCCTTATAAATCCCTATAGATTCCTTTAAAGGGACCCTTTAAGGGGACCCTTATAACTACCCATGAATCTCCAAGTAGAGCCTGGTCTCAGGCTGATCTCCTACGTCGGGCGGCGAAAGCCGAGCCAGGGGGCAACCGCCCTTCGTCCGGCGATGTTGATTTTGTGTAGGGCTTCCAAATCATAATAGGAACCCTAAGGGTTCTTTCAAGTCCTTATAAAGGGATCTAGAAGGTCACTATAAGGGAATTGCGGAAAAGACCTTAAATGATAATACAAACCGTACTATGATTGAAGGTATAGTCTTAATCAAGACGTATTGGAGTCACCGGCTTGCTCACCTCGACCTTCCCCACAAGGGTCCCTGTACGTTTTTGTTTTTGTGTGTTTTCTGTTTTAAGGGTTCCTTTAAAAGTTCCCTCAATGACTCCTTTAAGGGTTCCTGTAATGTAAAGTTGATACAGAAGCCTGTAGCTTCCCTGCTTACCATGGGGCTGGAAGCATTGTTCCTCTCAAGCAATCGGTACATCACCTGCCCAACAAGATGCGAAATCTGTGAGGGTTCCTTAGGTTTCGCACAAAGAAGATTTTGAAAAGAATGTGCCCGAATCTTCACCTAAAACAGAGAAGAGTTCCACCAAAGCGAACGCTGCATTATCCTGGTATACACACATAGGTTTAACCTGCCATCCCCCAGCAAATTGGACAAGTGGGGCTTTGAAACCTTGCAGTTTCTGACCCGACCATGCTGTTCAAGTTCCTGAATGAGCCGAACCGCGAAGCTTTGCAGCAAAATTGTGTAAGCCATGCACATTTGTACATACATGTGCACGCATGAAGACAGAAGTCTGAGCAAGTCGTGCTTCCACCTGTGTACACATGTTTTCACCTTTACGGCTTTCAACACCTTGGAAAACCACATCTTCAGATTCAAACTTATACAGTCTTTTGACCCCAAACCCATCCGCAAATCCTAAACTCTGCTCAATTCTCCAGTGCAGGCTATCCTTCAAGAGTGCATATAGAAAACTGCAGATTCCATATAGAATCCTCAAAGAGCCCTGTACCTAAACCCTAAACTCTAAACCCTTCATACCCTTCTTGCTAGACCGCCTATCCCCAAAACCCTTCCCCAAGCCCTACAGCTACATCCCTACTGTAAGCCCTGAACCCCAAAAGGTGGAGGGCGACGCTACAGCCTGGGTCGCACGACGACGGTGGCGGGCACCCTGGAGCTCTCCGAGAGCCCTGAGGCAGTTAGGGCTTAGGGTTTAGGGTGGCTTTGAGCTTTGGAGCCTAGGGACTCCAAGAAGGCCCTTCCTTAAGGAATATACCTGAAATCA